GCAATGTTTAGGTGTATGGGACGACCTTCCAATGAACTGAGCCAGAAGGCCAAGGCTTCCAGTGTATTTCCTATATTATACTCTGACTTAAGCAAATAAAACCTGGTCAAAGAGATGGTGACGTTCTTTGCAGTCACAGGATGTAAAATCAGTTTTAGAGCCAATCAGTCTGAGTCAGGCTGGAAAAAGGAGTTAATGATATCCCTCAGGGGAAATTATTGTCAGAGGATGGTCCCATTGCATCCAGGTGATAATAACTATAAACAGTGACGTTTTAGGACTTTAATACCGTTATATATTTGTTCTGATTCTAGGTCCTAGGTAGGACTTCTCCCTTGATAAATGATAATTTAATGGGAAAAAACCCAGATTTTAAAAAAAGTTTTATTTATTTATCTTTAGAGGGGAAGAGAAGGAGAAAGGGAGAGAAATATCAATGTATGGTTGCCTCGTGTGTCCCCTGCTGGGAACTGGCCTGCAACCAAGGCATGTGCCCTGCCTGGGAATCGAACCGCAATCCTCTGGTTCTCAGGCCTGCGCTCAATCCACTGAGCTACACCAGCCAGGGCAAAACCCAGATTTTTAAAACAAATAAGTGATTTTGGAGAGAGAGGAAGGGGAGCAAAACATCCATTTGTTGTTCCACTCATTTATGCATTCATTGATTGATTCTTGTATGTACCCTGTATATCCAAAATTTGAAAAGAACTTATAAAACTCAATGCCAAAAAAACCCCAAAACCAATTTAAAAAATGGACAAAACATAAGGCTGTCAGCTGATTTCTCAACAGAAACTTTGTAGGCCACAAAGGACTGGCAAGAAGTATTCAAAGTGACAAAAGCAAGGACCTACAACCAAGATTACCCAGTATAGCTATCATTTAGAATTGAAGGACAAATGAAGGAAAAGACAAGAGAAAGCCACAGGTCTCTGGCTGGTGTGGCTCAGTGGGTTGAGTGCCCACCTTCAAACTGAAAACTTGCTGGTTTGATTCCCAGCCAGGGCACATGCCTGGGTCTTGAGCTAGGTCCCGAGTTGGGCAACCAGTAGAGGTATCTCTCGCACATTGTTGTTTCTCTCCCTTTCTTTTTCCCTCCCTTCCCCTCTCTCTAAAAATAAATAAATTAAATCTTAACAAAAAGAAAGAAAAAGAAAAAGCTAAAGGAGTTCATCAGCATGAAATCAGTATTATGACATGTTAGTCCTAGCTGGTGTGGCTCAGTGGACTGAGCATAGGCCTGAGAACCAAAGGGTCATTGGTTCAATTCCCAGTCACGGTACATGGCTTCAGTTGGGGTTGCTCGAGAGGCAACTGCACATTGACGTTTTTCTCCTTTCCCTTCCTCCCTCCCTTCCCCTCTCTCTAAAAAATAAATAAAAAAAGTTAATGGGTCTTCTTTAAGAAGAAAAAAGACCAAATATATCAAAAAGAAAATGTCAATAAATACATATCTAGCAACAATTGAATCTAAGAAAACTAAATAAATGAAAAAGCAGAACAGAAACACAGAGAACATTTTGACAGTTCCTAGATAGGAGGGTGGTTTAGAAGAAGGGTGAGAAAGGTGAAGACATTAAGAAATACAGATCAGTTGTTACAAAACAGTCATGGAGATGTAAAGTACAGCACAGGGAATGTAGTCAGTAATATTCTATAACTGTAATATCAGGTGGGTTTGAGATTTAACAGGATGATCACTTAGTAAGTTACATTATGTCTGATCACTGGGGTGTAACTAACAAAATAATATATCAACTTTTTATATCAACTATAAAAAATAAAAATTATTAAAAAATGAGGGAGTGGGGGGGTGGGGTGGGCTGGGAGTAAAAAACAGAAAACTGTACTTGAACAATAATTAAATAAATTAAAAAATATATAAAATAAGCCCTGGCTGGCATAGCTCAGTGGATTGAGCCCAGGCCTGCAAACCACACAGTTGAGGTTCGACTCCCAGTCAGGGCACATGCCTAGGTTGCAGGCCAGTTCCCAGCAGGGGACAAACGAGAGGCAACCACACATTGATGTTTCTCTCCTTCCCTTCCTCTCTAAAGATAAATAAAGTCTTTAAAAAAATAAATAAGTAAAAATGAGGTAAAAGATGGGCAAAGGACCTGAAGATATACTTCTCCAAAGAGGACATACAGCTGGCCAAGGCATATGAAAAGATTCTGAATGTCACTAATCATCAGTGAAATGCAAATCGTAAAACTACCAGAGATATCACCTCATACTTACTATCATCAAAAAGTCAACAAACAGCAAGTGTTGGAGAGGATGTGAAGAGAACCCTCGTGCACTGTTGGTGGGAATGCAAAACGGTGCAGCCACTGTGGGAAAGCACTGTGGAAGTACTTCAAAAAATTAAAAATGGAACTGCCTTTTGACCCAGTGATTCTACTTTTGGGAATATATCTGAAGAAATCTGAAACATTAATTCGAAAGAATATGTGCATGCACCCCTAGTTCACTGCAGTGTTATTTACAATATCCAAGATTTGGATGCGGCCCAAGTGCCCATCAGTAGATGAGTGGATAAAAAAGTTGTGGTACATTTACACAATATAATACTACTTGGCTGTGAAAAAGAAAATCTTACCTTTTGTGACAGTATAGATGGACTTTGAGAGTATTATGGTATGTGAAATATGCTAGTCAGAGAAAGATAAGTACCAAATGATTTCACTTACATGTGGAATCTAATGAACAAAATCAACAAAATGGTGAGTGGGGTTGGCGGACTGAATGTAAAAGGTGAAAGGATTAAGAAAAACAACAACTAAAACAACTCATAGACACAAACAGCATGGTGACTGTAAGGGAAAGTTGGGTTCCGGATAGGTGGAAGGAGGGTAAAGGGCCCTGACAGGTGTGGCTGAGTTACCTGTGCATCTTCCAGCAAAGGGAAGGGTTGTCAGTTCCATTATGGGTCAGGGCCCATGCCTGAGTTTGGCTTTTTTTACTGGGTGGGGGCACAAAGAAGAGGCAAGGGATCCGTGTTTCTCTCTCTCTCTCCATCCCCCCCACTAAACAAACAAACAAACAAACAACATTTAGAAAAGAGGGTAAAGGGAAGATAAATAGTGATGGAAGGAGATTTAACTTCGGGTACTGAACACACAATCCAACATACAGATGATGTGTATTATATAATTATACACCTGAAACCTATATAATTTTATAAACCAATGTCACCCCAATAAATTAAATTAACCCCCCCAAACACCAGAACCTCTTCCATGTAAAAAATTAAAACAGTACAGATTAGGTTGATTACAGTTCCTTTTGACCAGCGTCCTCAATCACAAACCATCTTTTCTATTCTTAAGGAACAGCAAAAACACGTAATCAGGTTTGTATAAATCCTTTCAGATTGTTTGTGCTCTTTCCATTAAGTTTTTGCCTCTCAAGGGCAGTTATCTTTGACTCTCCCACACATTTCTATAAAGCAGGAATACAATGAAGACTACCAAGCAGACTCAATCCTAGCTCACTGTCAAAAGGGGAGAGTTAAGATACATCTACACATGAATGTTCATAAATTCTATTTGTTAAAAGCACAGTCTGAGCATTCTTTGATCAATTCAGATGAATAACAAAGGCCTCCCCCGATTTAAGCAGGGCTGTTAAAGGTTTTCGATCACCTAATTTAACCTACAACTAGTCTAATAGTAACTAGCAAGTTAGTCTGTAATTAGTACAGTGCCTTGCACAAAGATCAGTATGTTAACTCCCTACCCATCTTACTTAGACCTGTTGTGTCCATAGTGCACACGCGGGGTGTGAAAATAATTACGAACACTTATTGAGGATTTACTATGTGTGAAGCAGGTACTTTACATAATCTCCTTTACTTTTAACCTCCAGGTGAAGTATTGCTACCACAAAGGAAAGCTGGAATTGAGAGGTAAGGCCTGCTGGACTCCAAAGTCCATGTATCTAAGCCAGCATGGGATACTGCCTTTGAAGATCAAATAGGCCAGTAAATGAGAAAATACTTTAAACTCTACAACACTGCACTACAGTTGTAAACCATTATCTCCGCCCCCCTTAATTCCTTATATTAAAACAGGTCAGACCTTTTTGAGAGGATTATTCATTGGAGAGAGAAAATCTGGTTTGAGCACGAGGCAGGAAACTGAATTCCCTTAACCCTTTTTTCATGTTTAAAACGGGTCAGTCCTTTTCTCAAAGGGTTGATTACATGATTTAATAAAAAGTTGTATAAACGGCTGACAATGAGTAGGCGTTCAATAAATTTTAGTCTTTTCAGCAGCAGGGGCTTGGGAATGCAGAACTCGATCCCCCGCTTAAATAAGACAAGCCGCAAGACCCTCTGGCGCTGTAGGTTCCTCCCGAAGCCCGCTGAGTGCCGTCGCTACCGTGGTTAGCCGTTGCCGTTTTCCCGCGCAAGGAACAAGGCGGCGCGCGAGCACGCGACTGTGGGTGTGGAAACCCTCCCCCACCGGGACTACTTCTCACAGCAAGAACCACCCTCTGCCACCTGGCAGGAGGAACCCAATGGAATTGGTCTCAGATGCTAACCCTGTCCGCTTACCCTTTCGGCCTTCCCTCGGCACTAAGTCTTATACGCGTCGCCTGTAAAGCTGCTAGGGAAGGGATGCGCTGCTAAGAGCCTGTGCAGCAAAACAAAAGTCGTAGCCCACCGCGCAACGTTTGCTAACTTCAGTGGTTGGACCACGTCACGTGACTCAAGCAGGAAGCGGGTTGGCAAGGCTGTGAGGTCATCACAGCGCGACGAGTACACTATTGAGCATCTTGGATTCTGTGGGTAGTTCTCCTCTAATAACCTCGGGTGCGAGAAATTCCGTAAAATCTTCCTTATTTGCCCCATCCCCGCCCCCCCCAGCTTCGACGCTTTGGGACTTCCCGGCTCGTGTTGGGGGAGGGTAGAGGAAGTGATGAGTCTGGTGGGCGGACTGATGACCCGCGCAAGGGAGACGCGTGTAGCTCCTCCTTCGCCAGTGACGTAACGTCACGTGACTGGACGGCCCGCTTCGGCCGCCGCCGCCGCTTTGTAAGAGGCACATTGGCAGGTAACGAGCGGCGGCGGTGGCGGCGGCGGCGGGTACCGAGTGCAGCGAGAACAGCCTTGGTAATTGGCACTCTCTCTCTCTCTCTCTCCTTCCCAGTTCCAGGGCTCTCGGTGCTGCGGGGTGCGCTTTCTAGCTTTGCTTTTAGCTGTTTTTCTCTCTAACCCCCTTTTTCCACCCCACAGCGCCCACCCGTGAGGACCGGGCCGAGCTTCCTATGCCGACTTAATGTGTCCTCCCTATGCCCAGGCCCGGGCGTCTTCCTTCCTCTCCCAGGCCTGTTGCCTCTTGCTTCTTCCTGCCTACCGGGGTCCTGGTCGGCCCGGCCCCACCCAGCCCCAGGGGGGCCTTCCCCTCCCCTCCCCTCCGGGTTTCTGCCCTGGAGGGAGTGTTTTTTTTTTTTTTTTACTCCCCTACTTCAGTTCCTTTCTGACTGTCCTCTGGAGCTCCCGCACCACGCTGACGCTCCTCATCCTGACCACCTTTCCGTTTTCACGCGTGTCGCACATTAGTCCTGGGACTGGACCTCTTAGAGACCAACTTCTGCGCTCTGCAGCCTTTCCCAGCTTACACGCAGGCATAGTTCAACTCTACTTCTTTTTGCCCTGGAAGGCTTTGGTGTCAGACTTTTGGGATTCAGTGTTACGGGCTCCTGTTGCCACTTTGTAAACTAAAGCGCTTTCTGTTATTACACATTTGAAGATTTCACTCCTTCCTTAGTGTATTGTATTACATCTTTTTTGTTTTGTGTCTGAATCACTTTCTCACTTGGCTGTCCCACCTTCTCCCCTGGGTTATCAATCTAATTGCTCAGGCTTCCGAAATGCCACTACTGTGGTCTCCTATCCTTGTTCTCTCTAGGAGTTGATCCCATCCTCATTCCTGTTATTTCCTGTTTGACTTAATTCTGTAGTTTTCTACCACCTCAGTTGGATTATGTTTCTACTTACATCCAAGATACATGGTCTGCCAGTATTTAGGCTTACTTTCCTCAGCAACTGTGTCCTAACAATTGAGAGCCTTTTAAGGTCTCTAGAACATATCCAAAGACCATCTTTTATTTGAAGGGCATATAATTAACATTTTAAGTGAACCCAGTTATTTTATATTTTCTTTTCTATTATTATTGCTATTGTTATTAAAGATTTTATTTATTTTTAGAGAGAGGGGAAGGGAAGGAGAAAGAGAGAAACATCAATGTGTGATTGGGAAACATCAGTGTGTGGTTGTCTCTCCCCACGCCCCTTGCTGGGGATCCGACCTGCAACCCAGGCAGGTGCCCTGACTGGAAATCGAACCTGTGACCCTTGGGTTCGCAGGCCCACACTCAATCCACTGAGCTACAACCAGTCAGGGTTTCTTTTCTATTATGATAGTACTTTTTAAACCAAGATAGTACTTTTTAAAGCAAGTAGTGTGTTCCTCACTTTTTGCCTTGAAATGTGCATCCTTTTTAATGTTAGTTTATTAAAAGATGGTTGGAAGATGGACATAATACCTGAGAGCTCCTGTATCCTAGGAATTAGGTGCGTAGATTGGAATGGTAGTTTATTTCCTTTCCTAGTCTTAGGAAAGGAAATAAATTCCACTTGCGGGGGTGTCCAACCTGTGGCCTGTGGGCTGCATGTGGCCCAACACAAAATTGTAAATTTACTTAAAACATTGCGAGATTTTTGAGATTACATGTCACAATGTAATGTGTGGCCCAGAGATGCAAAAAGGTAGGACCCCTCTGCATGATAGGGTCTTCCAGTGTACCAACATAGCTCATTACCATCTTGCTTGCTAGGGCTCCTCCTTGGCTAGGGCTATCCTCTCATTTGTGTGAAGGCTTCCCTTATCTATCATTAGGCAGAAATGACTTACTTCCACAGTGCTTTCTGCATGCCTCCAGTGAGCTCCTCCTGATTGTTTGTTATGGCTAGTTCACATGCATAATGAGATTTCTCCCCACTGCTGTCCAGCTTGTTCCCTACAGCTCTGATTCCCCCTTTTTGCTTTCTTGTTTCCTCTGATCCTCAATAATTGGAAACAATTCAGAGAAGGGAGATTTGTGTTATGATTGAAATGTGGCTGTAAATGGTGGCATGGGAATGAGGCCATGGGAAAAAAGCTTGTGGTAATTGCCTCTCCTGCCTATTTCCTGCTGCTCTGGCCTCTTTAAATATGGGCTGGACCAGCAGTAGTCACATGGACTTGCCTTTAGAACAAGGCTGGAACAACAATAACACCTCTGCTTCCCTTTCCTGGTAACTAACTGGTGCAGCCTGTGCAGTGCTCACTACAGTGTCTTATGGTATTAGTCTGAGTGACTTATTTTTTGAGAATAGGAGAACATAAAGAAGAATAGGTGTAGTTCCATATGCAATGTGTATTGATGGGAACTGGTTAGTATCCCTACACCTTTAATTATATACTAAAAGTGGAAAATGTAAACCAGTCTTGAATATTTGAACTGGTCTTAGCTGAAGCTTTCACTTTGTAAGGGTTAGTCTTGGAAGTTGATTTTGTATAGTCTTTTTTTTTAAATGACTTACTCTTAAGAATTTTTAAAAAGATTTTATTTATTTATTTTTAGAGGGAGAGAGGGAGAGAAACATCAGTGTGTGGTTTGCCTCTCACATGCCCCCTACTGGGGACCCGGCCTGCAACCCAAGCATGTGCCCTGACTGGGAATCAACCTGCGACCCTTTTCTTTGCAGTCTGGCACTCAATCCACTGAGCCATGCCAGCCACGGCAAGATTTTTTGTTGTTGTTGTTGTTAAAGGCTTCTTTTTCGTGTAAGTGTATTATGAAGGATTAATGTCTGCTCAAAAGAAGCAGTCCGTGTGAATTCCCAGACTGGTGTTCCTCTGCTCTTAAAAATTCATTTCTCTTTGTGAGGTAACCTGTAGGTACCTACAGCAAATACAGTTAGTTCTTAGTTGTTAGTTTCAGTAAATTGAGTGTCCTTTAAAAGTTGAGTGTTATGGCACCTGTGGTGTTGTTGATGAGGTGGCGTATCTTAGAAGCAGCCCCCCCCCAAAAAAAAAGTGTGGAGATATAACTTGAAGGGAGGCAAAAAGAGGGAAGATTTATAAGGAAATACCATCATGTAAACCTGTAGTAGGTTTTGAAACAGTTTTGGGCCAGCTATCTAATAAGTATGTAGGAATAGAATCCTTTTTCTTTTTCGAGTCCAAGAACCAAATTAATCAGTTTTGATTAGACAGTTATAATGCAAACTGCATATGCTTTTCTGTTTGTTTGTTTTTTTTACTTTTTTTTCCTCATTGACCCTACGTATTCTGTACATTCTAAATTGATTTCAGAGAGAGAAGAAGGGAGAAAGAAGAGAGAGAAAGGTCAGTGTGGTGTTCCACCCACACACTGATGCATTCTTGGTTGGTGTTTGTATGTGCCCTGACCAGGGGTTGAATTTGCAACCTTGGCTCATGGGGATCTCATGCTCTAACTGACTGAGCCACCTGGCCAGGACTGTCCTGTACTTTTTAAAGAAATTAAGGTAAATTGTTTTAGTGTTGAAATGTCTTTGCATAGATTTTGAAGACCAGGTTTGTGAATTTCTGGCTGACAGCACGTGTAGTAGAGTGAGTTTCAATTTTCAGAAAACTCATTTTCATGCTGGAGTTATGAGCTAAATTGAATTGGAGCCCAGTTGGAATTAATTTTTTTTATTAATCCTCATCCATGGATATATTTATTGGTTTTTTAGAGAGAGAGAGAGACAGGGAGAAACATCGATTTGTTCTACTTATTTGTGTATTCTTTTTTTTTAAACATTTTATTTATTTATCTTTAGAGGGGAAGGGAAGGAGAGAGGGAAAGAAATATCAATGTATGGTTGCCTCTCATGGGTCCCCTGCTGGGAACTGGCCTGCAACCCAGGCATATGCCCTGACTGGGAATCGAACCGTGATACTCTGGTTCGAAGGCCCGCACTCAATCCACTGAGCTACGCCAGCCAGGGCTTATTCTTTTTTTTTTTTTTAAGATTTTATTTATTTATCTTTACAGGGGAAGGGAAGGAGAGAAATATCAATGTATGGTTGCCCTTTGTGCATCCTCTGCTGGGAACTGGCCTGCAACCCAAGCATGTGCCCTGATTGGGAATCGAACCACGATCCTTTGGTTCCCTGGCCCGCGCTCAATCCACTGAGCTACACCAGCCAGGCTATGTATTCTTTGGTTAATTCTTTTATGTGCCCTGGACTGGGGATTGAACCTGTAACCTTGGTGAATCTGAATGATGCTCTGACCTGCTGCAGTACTTGGTCAGAATGTGTGTTCTGTGAAGGGTGGGATTTTTCATTTAATACCAGTGTTTGGCATTGTCAAATTATTAAACAAGAATAAGTGGGCTTAAAAATAGGCAAGTTTAACTGAGATAGTTTAGAAAAAAAAATGATCAGCTTTAGGATTGATTGATAAGCCTAACATTAAATAATTTTCCAGACCAAACCTAGTCCCCCTCTCCTTTTCTCAAATTAAATAATTAAAATTTCAATTTAGAGTAAGTATTTGGGTCAGGTTGGCTGGTACTATTTTGCCTAACAAAATACATGAGGAAAACTTGAAAAAATTAGATAAGGTGAAAATGACTTAATGGTTTAACATTTTATTGTATCCTTGCTCTTTTTAAATATAATGTATATACTTTTTTAAATGTTAGAGAAAAGTTTTTTGAGGTATAAAAACACACGTAGAGTTTTCAAAAATAAAGTGACGAAGAAGTAGAACATTACAGCTATCTAAAAGCCCTGTGTGTATGCCATCTTTCAAGGTGTTATTTTCTGTCTTTCCTAGAGGTAGCCATTACTATACATTTTGGGTTTATTATTTTTTAGAATAATTTTTACTTCGTATATGTGTATATCCATAAACGATACATATAGTTTTCTTTATTTATTCATTTATGTAGAGAGCCAGGAAGAGGGAGAATGGGGAGAAAGTGAGGGAGAGAAACATCGATGTGCAACAGAAGCATCGATTAGTTGCCACTCACATACCCCCAGCCACCGCAACCTGGGACCTAAACCATAACACAGGCATTTTCTCTGA